TGGGAGATCAGCAATGATAGGATGCAGATAGCGGTCCAATAAAGATTTTATGTGCCCTACCAGTACGCCTATCAATGGAAACACCAAGGCCCTGCGAAAGCTTTAACTATTTTCCAGAGAAAATGACAGAACAGCACAGCACCAAGGACCAGCAAATTCTGGAAAAACCTTTTCAACAGAAAAGCAAACAGTGGTTGGGTAATGCTGAGACATTTCACTGTAACGGGCAGTTATCAAGTGACCTGTGTTTCAGTTATTGGGAATTTGGGGATATTGTAAATCACGAAGTGGCTCGGGAGCAAATGACAAAACACTAGTCAAGAAATTGTTTTAAAAGTTTAGTACATTTAAAAGAAAACAAAAGAATTATTAATACATATTGGAAATGAAATGAAATGGGGTTTAACCTCCTACTTCGAGTGGGCTAATGAAGACGGACATACGCCACAGTGTGTTATGAGTGACATTTTCCTACGGCCTACTCTTATATCGAATTCCAACGTCCAATGAAACTTTTACCTGCACGCCAATGTGTACACGGGACCTCGGGTTTTCGTCCCATCCGAACGACCAGATAACTTTTCTTGTCAGACCCTCCATCCTGCACCACTAACAAGGGGAAAACCCCGCCGGAAAATCCTGATGAACTTTCTCGGCCAACACCTGGAGCGAACCCGTAACCTCCAGACTAGCGATCTAGCGTCTTACCCACTTAGCCACCGTGACTCCCCCAATACATATTTAGAGCCACTGTCCAATGCAGTGTCGTAATTGATTACAATAGTTATTTTAGTTCCTATGGAGAGATGTTTTAAAGAGTTCAAGAGTTAAGAAATGACAATATCAGTATTTATTTCACATTTTTGTCAAAGGACAAACAGTTCTGTGATTAATTATGTATAACTTTTATCGTAGGCAACATAAGAGAACTGCACAACAAACAGACAAACAGATGCTTCATGAACATAAACGCCATTAGGTACACATTCTTAGAAAAGGTTTACAAACTAAACAGAAGACCATACTGTTGATGAATATAGTTCACAAACACAGGCTTATCTCGTTAGTATTTATAGTAATCTTTGATTGTCAAGATTTTGCTAACTGATGCATAATGTACACTTTAGAACACCCAATACCAATCTCGTTGTATTTGACAAGTTCGCGTGGTTAAAGAGCTTCACTGTACTGTGCTTATTAATAATGCATCCTAACCTGGACTAGTTTCCATATATAGTGGGGAGTTGGAGGGTCGGGTATACTACCTATACATACAGACTACAATGATTACACAGTCGTGTCACCTGTAGAAAATATTCCGTTAATATAAAAATACTAATTCGATAAATACTTGCACTTTTCCTATATCAAAATGAAAACAAAGAATATATATTAGTTTTAGAAAAAAGGTTAACCCTCAGGTCATTTTTTACACTGATCCAGACTAACAGCTTATCCTCCAGTGTAATGATTTCATGCCGGCAGTCCATTAGTCAAGAGGTCGGAGGAGAGGAATATTTCATTGTCCAATTCAATCGCAGTTAATTGACATATAAGTGGCGTTTAGATGGTATACAGAAAGTTATAACAGATATGCTATTCAATCTTGACAGGACTCTTATAGATAGCTCTGACCGAGGCCCGCGGACACTTAACTCGGTAAATATAACAAGTGGATATGGAGATGGCATAAAAATAATCTTCGTAAATCGAGAATCAGAATCTTTATTGACAAATCACGTGTCACTGTAAGGCTTAATAAATTTGATTTGTACGTGCCCTATCTACTTATCGCTAAGACGTGTTCATAATTAGCAGCTAAATAGTAAGAATTCAACCCCACTTACTTTGATATCTTTTCATCCAAATATTTTTGAGGATTAAATTCCCTTGACGAATTCCAAGTCCCCTTCATGCGGACATACCTTTACTAGACTTTATACGGAAATATTTTTAAGGATTAAAATTCCTCGGATTTCCTTTTGATGTATACATACACAGGGTTCACTCAAGTGTTATTCAAATTATTTCAACAAGAATTCTTTCATATCTGAGTTGACGGTATCGATGTAAACAATGTGGCTTATGGGCCGAGCGTATTTCATTTAACCGAAAATTAAAGAGCACAAATAACCTTTCGCAAGACATAAATACAAAGATGGGTGCAATCAATGCATCTCTAATTTAAGAGCCCCAGGTCATTCCTTTCATTTACAACCATATAGTCGTGTGCCTATGAAATAGTATATTCAAAAAAATGTTAGTGTTAATAATTTGTATTTATGTCCATTCTTTTGGTTTGTTTTCGTGCGAAACCGATAAAACAAAAACCGATTAAAATTCTCAAATTGAAATAGTTCCACAGTTCCTTTTATTTACTTACATTTACCGAAATATGTGACATATTTGGGGAAGATGGAATTAGGCTCCACGCGATTAGGCTGAAACTATAGTTCCTGATATCCAAGTTCAAGCATTTGGTCTTAGATTTCCGGAACTACATTAGTACGCTATTATCACCACAATATATATGTATATACATCAAGGCTCATACACGTGTCACCGTATTGAGAACCCCTAATACAGTGGCAACCACTTCAACTCACAACGAGTCGCAGAGTTCCACAATTCCATGAAATATAATGTCGCAGGCGTCGGTTCTGAAAATTCAGCCATGCGTTCTTATTGCAACGAGTGTCTACATAAATCATAAAGTGTGAGCAAGCCAATAAAACGAAACGATAACAGGTCAGTGTCAAGTTAAACTCCAGACAATAATGTGGATGAAGTCATGGGTGGATCCGCCCTGGGGAAATTATACCAAGATCTAATGACGATGATTATACAAATTGTATGTTTAACTTCGTTCTCAGTTCCTGTGTGAAATAAGAAATATCATTACTCCCTCTTCAATTTGTCTATTCAATAATCATCTTCGTATGCGAAAATGTGAAAAACATCCTTCACCTAAGTAATTTTATCGATGTATCAACACCAGTAACGTAATTAGGTGTTTATAATGTTGTGATATGTTAAGAAGCGTTAGACTGTATCTTTAACAAAATAACATCATCTTGAACAAAATAGCTCCCTAAAAAGTGTTGGGAAATAATACTTAACCTATTTACGAATTGAGAAATCTTCATAAAGAAGGGAAATGAATGCGTTTAACGTCTCGTCGAAACAATTCATTTTAGACTAACATACGATTATTGTATTCCTATGACCATGTGTGCAATGCGACGTCTGTTAAATTTGCCAGGTCAATGGTGTTTCTGTATTCTCTTTGTCGAATTCCAACTGTAAGGGATTATTGTATGTGCACGCCGACTTTAATATGGGGTTCGCAGTTTCCTACCCGGAAAAGTGAAACTTGGGCTTAAAGGAGCTAAATCGCTAATATTTGGGACCTAGAAATTGACACAAATGAGTCACGACGCATATAATAATGTAATATGAATGTTATTTAATATGAATGTATATAAACTGATTGACATTCAATCGTCCGGCGAAATACGCCAGAATTCTCAATTGAATGGCAATCTGTAGCGTCTGGTTATTCCAGTCTACACCGATATTTTTTTTAATGCGCATGCTCTCCAGACAAGATTGTGGCGTCACCTTTGACATGACTCGTGAAATATATCAAGCCTCGTTCTTCGAGTCTCCTGTTACAAATGACGCTGAAACGCGTTATGGTGCACGTTCGTGTTAAATACTAGATATCAGAAACCCATCATTCCCCGGTAAGATCACAGCATGAATGTTGATTTAAACTAACAAATAATTTGTGTTTTCAATGCCCAAGATTTAGGATGATATTGAGTTAAGAGACTTAGCTACTTTAAAAAGAAAAAGTGGTCAATGCAATCAAAGTCACAGAGACAGGGATAGAAAAAAAAATACCCGAGACATTCATACAAACAGTAGTTAGCTAAAAGATGTTGTTTTCGCTGGACGGCACAATTACAGACCATGTCCGAAGGCAAATATCTACCTCAGCTATCCTTTAGAGTTTGCATATACATGGCTATAAGTTAAGGGGGCTAGTTCGTTTAGTTCTATACCAAAATACTAGATGAATCCCATCCCAGGATAAGTGTAGAGTTTTACACATATTTCTTCATCGGCTATGGGTTTATTGCTTCTGACTTTATTTTACCATAATATTATAAGTGCAAGAAAATATTTGGTGCATGCCAGATTTTTATATTACGCACGCTACAGTGAATGTAAATATAGTTGAAAATAAATAAATGAATAGTCTATAAATAGGTAGCACATGAAAAAATATGATTGATCTATGTTATGCTGTCAGATAAATGTTAAAGACAGATATATAAAAATATTTTTTTCTGTATGTTTTACCTTATTTCTCAATTTAAATGTTGAAACGAAAATGAATGTTAATATATATTGTAGACATTTTAAATGGAATAATGTAAGATTTTAATTGATGTGTAGTTTTGGAAATGACATAGTTTGACATTTAATTAAGTTGATCCTATTTTGAGAAAAGGCTGCTTCTATATATATACACTTTAAAACACATGTTGCATTAACATAGAGATGGTGTGAGCGCAACATCTCTTTAAAAATGTTTTCGTTACAACGCCGTTGGAGGATCGGAAGACAAAATAACCCAAATAATTCAAAAGAAAGCGGAGCTGCAGAGAATTCGATTAAGTGAATTTACCAGTTGCTGTGATTTTAAACTAGGAACTCTTGAAATCGTACGGGTAAAATGTTATGTTAAACCCAGCGATTGGAAAACCATCAAACGGATCGTAATTGTTAAAATATGTTTACACGTAGAAACAATTATCCGCCGTGTTTATCGAGGTTACTGGGCTATGTTTAGCTACTCTCAGCATGACAATACTGGAAAGACATTTATTATTCTGGCAAACTCGTGTATAAGACAAACAAATAACCAATGTAGGATAATAATGCATGATTAATGAGACTAATTAGGGGTGGTAATTATGTAATGGTCTTACCTGCGACTGCCAGCCAAAGACTTGTCAGGTACATACATGTTAATCCCAGTAAATCCATCTTAACTATTCGTATACAACTTGTTTGTTGAGCTTTGGCAGTGTGTTCTGATTCTATCATCCGGTATTAATTGTAGTCAATATTTCAACATATCATCATGCCACATTTGGCTATAATGTAAATTTATTTCTCCTTTGAATGTCAATCCACAAATTCAGACAATTCTGTCAGTTACCAGTTCCATCCACAATATATAAGATTCAAAAGCACAGCTTTGGGTCTTGCACAATAAAATAAGTATTCAAATAATCTCGGAAACTTGGGTCTTTCTTGAACACTTTTAGTTTAGCAAATGGTCATTATGCTCTGGACAAACAATAAGCTGGACGTTCGTGATTTTATCGTTTCATTATCGAATATATCTGATAAGTACACGGCTACGATCACAATTCCATAATTTTTCAGCTTCAACAAAATTTTCTACAGTTAACAGATAGTTAATCAATAAAATTTCATATATCAATAGAAATTCAATTTAAAAAAAAGGCTAGTTGGCGAAATAATCGAACTTCAAGTATCCCAAGTCTCGACTGTATGTTCTCTGAGGTCAATATACCGATTATTATACGATAATACTCCATGCTTTATCATGGCTGTACACTATTGTTCATTGTGTATGTTTACTTGTATTCGATGTTTCTACAAAACTCGTATAAGTCACGCATTCACCTAATAAAAGATCATTAAATACAATTCTGACCTCGTCGAGAAGAGAATATGTGCACAAATTATCCCAGCAAGCAATTAACTATTTTCTGATGTTTCTGGAAAAGAGCGCCTTTAGAATAAAACAGAGCTCAGCCTGCTGCAAACCAATTAGGTAATCCGAGGTGATCTAAGATATTCCCACGAATTGCACGTTGGTGTGAATTTTGATTTTCAATCATCGACACCAAATTCTAAATAACAAGGATCAAATTCCAGCGCACTGTTTAAAAATGTAATAGCGACATTTTACCACTTCCGTTCTGGTAAGACATTAAAGAGTTTAATTTTAATGATTTGGAAGATCTCCAACAACGGTGACAGATTTTACGATCACACTTAGTCAGTTTTGGCTATTTAAAGACAGGTTTTAGCTGATAGCCCTATGTAATTAAAGTATTATTACTAGCTGTAGAGCCTGACTGTCACATGCACTACATGTTAACACACAAAGAGTTTTACACTGCAAGTCAGCCACACTATTGACGTGATGTGGGGAGCTTTACGCTGCTTTTGTCCACGTGGTTTATGTCTCGGCTGGGGACCGGTAATCCTACACAGATTAACACCTTGTCACGCCCACTTTTTACTTTCCCTAGACTAAATCCATTATTTACGCCATGCGTTTTTTCAAAGGTAAACACCATAGATCTGTGTAAACGTCTTTATCACCAATGTCGACCGGAGTTCACTGAAACATAAAATACAGCAATTACAGTTATTGTATAAATAATGTAAAGAACGAATAAATTATATATTCAACAAATTATATTCTTGTTTACAGCGAATTCCAAAAACTCATATAAAAACACGTGTATTAATGGAACGCACAGGCGGTGCTTTGCTTCTTTTGTAAAAAAATACAGAACACGTGTCTTACAAATCAACGCCATTAGTACACAGCCGGCTAGCGTAAAAATGTTTCTAAGTTTTAAATCCTTAGGCATCTCAGGAAATGAAAAAACAACCGTTGATGATAATTAACTTTGAAAATTTGATTTCGAGACCCATTACGATAAAACTGTGGCAATGATAGCAAGTTAATTCCGCCGTGTATGCCAGCTATTTGATTAGTTTAGATCTGTTGGCAGTATCCGCGATAATAGCGAATGCTGGGTGTCGTGGTGCTTTTTGAATTTTGCATTTAAAGCCGGTAGAATAGATAGCGACAGTTAGAAATTATCGCATTATGACAACTAAATATATATTATGTTATGTCCACTACTTTGTTTAAACGCTGATCCAAGAAGTCATAATTAATGTACACGATGACTTGATCAAGTCCGTTTGTGGTTGATGAATTTTCTTCTAAATCATTAATACAAGCCATAATGGATCAAGAGTGTGCTCATAATAGGTTTCTCATTGGCCAATAAAATGTTGCGTAACAAAGAAGCCGGGATTAACCCGAGTTATATAATGGAGGTAGATGCTGAAACTAGAATTGTCTACGATATCACCATGAAACTAGAAAACGTAACCGCGGATAAAATTATATTCGATTAAAACTCAACCCAAGATAATAGAGCGACACTTTGAAATGTCCTTGACACGGCAGTGGGATTAACCATGGAACACTGCCTAGGGAGTAGTTGATTTATGAGGACAATCCTATTATAATTTCATCTGCAAGGCTCCCATTTGCGTGCTGAATTATTCTAGGAAACTCGATGGTTATCAAACTGATCGGCCACTCTGGGTATCTGCCAAGGAATAAAACGCTAGACAACAAAAACAGTCTACTAACACGACTCAGAGGCAGTAGCAAAAACGACGGTATCCCCAAACAACCAATTAAAAACTTGATTTCTCCCGACTGAAAAGTTTGTGTATGTGTAAGGAAAACAAAAGACACTTATAAAAGACGATAAACCATAATCTCGCCTCCGCAAGGCACACCAATATAAAGAGTCACTAAGCTTCGAATCACTTTAATCTATGTGTAAACAAATTTTAAAACAGAAAACTCTAGCGTTTTTTCTTTACACCACATGAATCCCACAGAGACAAATATTTCCTTTTCAGATCGACAAGATAGGAAGAAATTTAACGCGAGGAAACGCAAATAGAAATTGTTCTATCTGGACTGATTGAAACCAGCATGTCCAATCAGTAAGTTTAATATGAAGTTTCAAAAGTATTAACTTCCCGTTTTCCGACATCAATCTGAAGCGGAAATGTAAACATCACTCAACTGTCACTCAAATATTTTCCCAGGGAGCCACGGTGGCTTGACGAGTTTGGCTTACTGATCAGGAAGCACCGTGTTCAATACCTACGTAAGTCTAGCTCTTTCCACGGGATTTGCCAGTAGTGCAAGGTGGTCGGACGAAAACCCGACGTATCGTGAATGCGATCATTGACAGAACGTCCAAGATCCATCGACAGTTGTAAATTGAAATAAGAGAAAGCCGTAGCGCCACTGTCCTTATGGCAAAATCCCACCATAGCTGAGTGGTATTTTTTCTATCCCTTCTTGACTATCGGGTATGATGTTATGTCCCATTTCCTTTCATTTCTGTCAGAACAAGTAATCTATTGCAGACTCTTAATATTACAAATCTGAAATGTCAGCATAGCACTTGTTCAAACTAAAGTCCTTTACAGGCTTCATAAAGACAGGCACGTTGCTGACAGTTAGGCTACAACATGTCCATATACATCTTCAATAGAAGGCTTGAAAAGTTTATGATAATAATAATAATATGTACATGCTTAGAGTAAATATAACACAAACTACACGTTATGCATTTGACAGTAGTATAATCGCGTTTACGAAAATTGACTCAAGACCATAAAAAAATAAATCCATTTAACTTATTTTATCCTTCAATGACCGTAATTAGGCTTAGAGTGGCACAAAGCTTAAACAGGCATTATACAAGACATAAATCTGCCTATTGCGGGTCTTTCGTTAGGCCTTAAATATTATCACAATTATTAGTTAGACATTAATCAACTTACCAAGACCATAATCAACACTCGATGCCATCGGTTGCCTGTGATGTTTAGTGGATTTGAATACGTTTTGTTGTGAATGAAATAATCGTAAAAATGGATAATCGAGACTTTGTTTATTATCGTATCAACAGTAGTAATGGCCGTCGAGGCTAGCCTAGAATTGAATCGCTAATGTTCAGAGTGAACGTCAGAGTGAAGTAGTAATGGCCGTCGAGGCTAGCCTAGAATTGAATCGCTTATGTTCAGAGTGAACGTCAGAGTGAAGCAATTTGACTGAAATGTTTACCATATTCTCTTTTCATTGTCTATAGCGAAAACTGTCCGCTCTTTATCGAATCTTAACTAATACCCCTTTCAGCTTTCGATTCATTCGCTCCTCTTTAAGATTTCATGAGAACAGAGTCAATGAACACATCTTAGGTTGTACTGGTATTAACACATTTATCTACGAATAATTGTTTGCATCAAATCATATCAGCCAGTCTATTCAAATTGTATGGATATAATTATGGTTTGAGGTCAACATAAGAATATGTTTGTGGAAACAAACCCTATTAAGATCTAAATATTTTGCCAACCCAAACAACGGATGTCCCTTAGTATGAGACTTATTTAGCAAATATAGGATTTATTTAAATAAATAATAATTTTACAAGATGTTGACAATTATCAAACACAATACATCAAACAGAAAAATCACTTAACATATAATCTGGGGAATTGGATGGCCGCATTCTTCTGATTGATGGGTTTCAATAGATAACTTAAAGTGTCACTCGATGAGGGTCGACCCGATGTGATTTATATTGATATTTTGACCCGATTTAAAAATATCAGTTCGTATAAAAAAATCTTTTATCTTGGTATCGTATTAATGTATCTCTGTACGCATATCTCTTTTCGCTTTTACAATTTTGTTGTGGAGTCTTCCTTTACATATGAATTTGTTTTTTTAAAAAAAAACCATCAAATGTGGCTAGGACTATCACGAATATTTGTTCATGTCTGTTCATGCATGGAGCCGCGTTTTACTCATTAAGTAAGCCGCTGGTTTACTAACCACGTGGTTACGTATTCGTAACCGGGGATAACGGAAAGAAGGGTCTAACGAGGAACAGCGTTGGGACGAAAGACTTGAGGTCAAGTGTACACGTTGGCATGCACGTAAAAAAAGCCTTGAAAATTGAACTTCCAAATAGGAATAGACCGTAGCGTTGTTGTCTGGGCGAAATTTCACCCATAGTACACTACATGACGTATGCCCGTCGGTGCTGAAAAAATGGGACGCTAAACATCGTTTCTTTTCATGTATACGGTCTTGTGTTAATTAAGCCGCCTCAGTTTGTTTTGCAATGCATTATCTTATGTAGCTTAATGCATCAAACGACTGTATCTTTGGCGACTAAGGAACGATACAAAAGTGGTTAATTCACGTCGTGGTATCGCAATACATAACTGGCTCAAGCGGTTGTTCAAAGACTCAATATTTATCCTTCGTGACTGTGGTGATTTGTAGATATTTCTATACCGTTCTTTATAACCATTTATCATCGATGGAGGAAATCGAATAATATGATGGTAATCAATAGAACAGGCGTTTAAATAATTCGAGATAATTGAGTTACAACAAAGGATATAGCTTCGTTTCCTTTATTTCCATTGTAAAACCAATTATCTCCCCCTTTATGTCGTGTCTAATTATATCAAATCAATGGGTCTTTCTTTTAAACTAGAAATTTACTACGCTACATTGTTAAAAAGCTAGACTGTGTGAGGATAAAAAAGATTTTCTTACTCATTTGAGAATAGAAATTATAAGAGGTACACGAAAAGTGGGATAACAATAAATATTAAATGACGAGGGGAAGTAAAAAAAATGGGAAATTGAAAGGAATGGAAATTAAATATATGCCCAAACACAAACATGTTACGTCGGCGTAACATATAGACTGTCAGGCAAACATACTTCCACGAACAACTGCACACAATTCACAATTTTCATATTCTTTATAAAACAGAGCAATAATGTTGTCAGTTCGAATTTTAGTAATCTGTGCGCCCTATTTCTTGGACACAAATTATCGTTTTAACAAAAAAAACAAAAAATGAAAATACGTGGTTGCTCTTCGCAAAAGCCTTTAACGAAATTTATTTCGGTTGTTGAAATTTAAAATAAACACATGCCAGATCGAAGCTATTTATCACGAAATAAAAACCAAATTGGTTTGGCCGTATTGGCTATCAACAATTGATTAAAGTTTAGATATCATACAGATCCAATCCGAAATATAATCAAGTAACATAACTGTGGGAGATATTATCGGTAACTGTTGAAAAACGAAAAGCCGGTTTGTTTTACTATATTTCATAAAAATCCAATGATAATTGTAGTTTAAATAAAGGTTCGTGATCAAGTGTCATAACACTAGAAGTCATCAACATAAATCGTCCAATAAATGTATAGGGATCTTTCATTTTACGAATCATAAAGATTCAAATCAAAGGGCATACATGTAATTGTGGCAATTATCGTCATAAAGTCCCTCAATCAATAGGGATCTAATATTCACCGAGTAATTGTATAACCTTCGGAAATGTCATAAAGATTTAATTATAAATTTTGCTCCTGTAGTGTTAACAAGATTTCGTTTTCAAGGGGCATAAATCTCAAGACCATTGTTGAAAATCGATAACAGTCTTCCTTTCATCAAGTTGAACAGCCTACCAAAA